AACAATATAAGGGCAGATACCTTTAGCACAGCTGATGACGCTTTGAAGTGACGCTAAAGGGAGCGAGGATATGTAGGCTGCATCCGAAAACTTAGACAGCTGACTTGCTGCCTTACTGCCGTATGAGGCAATGACTTTGCAGGCAGCGTTTTTGCACGAAGGCACCTCATAAAAACTGATTTCGGCCAAGCTTCTGAGGCAGCGTAACAGTTTAATGATCTACAATAAAATAGAACAAGTTTTGGTGATAACTAAACAAATGTTTAATTACTATAATACTGATTTCTCGCTAGAAAAAACATCAAAAGTGCAAAAAGTTAGTCAGAAATATACATTTACACACAAACTGACCACCAAACGCAACTTTCAGATGCCATCTTTATTTTTTAGCTCAACCATCACGAAATGGAATGCACAGGATTGTGGGATATGAAAGGCAGCGAAGGATACATCTATGGGAACCTGGCAAGGACACAAGGAAAAGACGCGAGGATGGAGGAATTGAATCAAGTGAAATTATATATCCTCGCTATATGATATATTATATATTACGCTAAATGATATATTCCTCCATTCTCGCGTCTTTTCCTTGTGTCCTTCCCTCGCATCCTGAAGGGGTGGAGTTGAGATGCGAGGAAAGGAAACAAGGATGCACAAATAAGAATTGAGAAGCACACACACACACACACACACAAAGAGAACAATATATAAAACTTTGGTAACACTTTACAAAAAGGTTTCCTTTGTTAACATGAACTATATTAGTTAACATTAACAATATTTATATAGCATTTATGAATCTTAGTTAATATTATGTTTACAATTTACTAATGCATTATTAACTAAAATTTAAATTTGTAGCTGTTTACATTTGTTAATGTTCCATTTACTAACATGGACATTTTTATTAACTAACATTAACAAAGATTAATAAATACTGTAACAATATATCGTTCATTTTTAGTTCATTAGCATTAACTAATTTAAAAAAATTAAACCTTATTGTAAAATGTTACCACAGCTTTTAATGCTCTATAAGCATTTGTGAAATCATTACATATAAATTGCCAGTACAGTAAATTAACTTATTCTATGTATTTGTTTGTCAATCTAACTATTGCAAACATACAGTGGGTACGGAAAGTATTCAGACCCAATGGCTTTCCACCAACGTTTACCATCCAACCTGACAGAACTGGAGTGGATCTGCAAGAGGGAATGGCAGAGGATCCCCAAATCCATGTGTGAAAAACTTGTTGCATCTTTCCCAAAAAGACTCATGGCTGTATTAGATCAAATGGGTGCTTCTACTAAATACTGAGCATTTTTCAGTTTTTCTTTTTTAATAAATTTGCAAAAATGTCAACAATTCTGTGTTTTTCTGTCAATATGGGGTGCTGTGTGTACAGTAATGAGGAAAAAAAATTAACTTAAATGATTTTAGCAAATGGCTGCAATATAACAAAGAGTGAAAAATTTAAGGGGGTCTGAATACTTTCCGTACCCACTGTAGCAGTAAAAGGATTAGGCTTAAATGATTTCTTATCATTCCATCTAGTGGACAACATTAGTATTACAGCCTGAAATGTCAGCTGAAATGTCTAATAGTTTTTAATTTTCTTTTAGCCATAGAGCATTGTAAATTAATGAAACTAAACATGTTTCCTAAAAATGACAGATATAAAAATTACTTGTTCTCCATATGTAAAAAGTTTAGAAGAGTTTGGATAATACACTTTAAAGATATAAGAAAATTACTGTTTCCTTTTTTACTGTCACTTGAATACATCACCATGGCAAGAACCATTCAAGATATACAAAATCCATTTGCAATTTAGCATCTTCAGTATCTTGGCATCATGTTGACAAAGTTTGGTGTGAATTGCATGATTCTCCTAGGAGGAGAATGAATTAATCCACAGCCTGCTTTTTCCAAAAATCCACATTCAAACCAAAATAGCCGACTTCCTGTTGGTTGTAGCTAATGACTGTAAATTAGAAAGTTGTCCAGCTTGATGAGATCAATATATGTACCAAGTTTTGTGACTATAGATAAAACTAAATCCCTCACTTTTGTCAAAAGGTGGCACTATAGAGTGCCTCCTCCAGACCCATTTATGAGCTTTGCCAGTGTCTAACGGTCGATAACTCTGATGTGTGTGTCAAGTTTCATTAAATTCTAAGCATGTTAAATGACTCAAAAACACCCCCAAAAAATTTTAGTTTGTTAGTCAAAAAAGTTTGACTTGTTGCCATGGAAATGCCATGGTTTTTAAGATATCAAGATTCCCTTCACAGTTTTACATTGGCCGTGATTTGACATTATTCTGATGAAGCTTGAAGCAAATCGGGTAAATATAAGATGACAATTTCAAAGTGTTTTAAAAAGTCAAGTCAAGTCACTTTTATTTGTATAGCGATTTATACAATACTGATTGTGTCAAAGCAGCTTTACAGTGTCAAACAGGAAAATAGTTTGTCAATAATGCAAGAAGACAATAACAAAGAGTAATTTTTCCAGATAAAGTCAGTTCATTGATGACCCAGTGGCAAGGAACCAAAACTCCATTGGTGACAGAAATGGAGAAAAAGTAACATACTTCCTGCTACCAGCTGGTGGCGCTATGACTCACAATAGTCTCATCTATATGATCATCATACAATGAACAAACTGCTAAAGTTTGATCCAAATCAGACCCTGTATTGCAAAGTTATTAGACACTTCCTGTTTCTCATTTCTTGACATAAATTTGTTGCCTCACCACGGCCAAACCATTTGAGATATCAAAAAACCCTTCGCAATTTAGCATCCCCAATGTCTTGAGATCATGTTGACTGAGTTTGGTGGTAATCGGTTGAAAACCTTAGGAGGAGTATTGCAAATTCCAGAGCATGTGTTTTTCACAAAACCCTGCTGACTTCCTGTTGGGTGGAGCTAATGACATGCAGTATGAAAGTTGTTCGGTTCGATGAAATCTATATGTGTACCGAGTTTCATATGTATATGTGCAAATATGCATGAGATATTGCCCTCCACAATCCAGGGGGCGCTGTAGAGCCCCTCTGCCATGCCCGTGTACCAGTCTCTGCCCAGCTCTAATGGCCGCGGATTCCAAGGTGTGTGCCAATTTTCAAGAGTTTTTGAGCAGGTTAAGGGCTCCAAAACCTTGATGAAAAATAGTAAAGAAGAAGAATAATCCTAAGGAAAATAATAGGGCCCTTCGCCACTATGGGCTTGGGCCCTAATAATAATAAAGAAGAGCAATTCCAAGAGGGTCCTTGAACCGCGGTGCTCGGGCCCTAATGAACTAAACAAACATGAGAAAACAAACGCTAAGGCATCAAGAGCATACCATAATTCTTATTTTCCGTGGTTAATTGAAGAATTAAGAAACTCAAAGAATCTATGTAGGAAGGCAGAACGAAAGTGGAAAAAGGATAAACTCAGTGTCTCCCTTGCTTCTTTAAAAAATCTGATGTACACTGATGTACACAAAGAAGCAAGGAACACTTATTTTTCAGACCTGGTTACTAAAATGGGACATAACCCCAGAATACTTTTTAAAAGCATTAATTGTATCATAGGTCCTCTGCCTAGGCAGCCAGTTGAATCTACTCCAGAGAATTGTGACGCTTTTTTGAATTACTTTTATAATAAAATAGTGGAGATTTAGGCAGCAGTTTAACATTGATTTCAGAGAACATGATGTTGACTCCTGTCCACCTTCAACATTAGCGCATTGTAAACATGCCACCGTTTAACCATTATTAAAGAAGGCCTCTCTAGACCCCTCTAATTTAAGTAATTTTAGACCCATCTCTAACTTGCCATTTTTATCAAAGATTTTAGAAAAAGTTGTGTCCATGCAACTGACTTCTTTTATGAAAAAAAAATCAGTCTAGCTTCCGCTCCCAACATAGCACTGAAACTGCTCTTGGTAAGGTCACTAATGACCTACTGCTTGCAGCCGATACTGTCTTGTACTCCATTTTAATTCTTCTTGACCTCAGCTCAGCCTTTGACACAGTGGACCATAATATCTTGATAAACCGTCTAAAGACTTGTGTTGGTATCAGAGATGTAGCTCTGGATTGGTATATCTCTTATTTGTCTATCATGTCCTTTTCTGTAGTGCTTGGAGATGCCTCCTCCTCTCATGCTCCTCTATTTTGTGGGGTCCCTCATGGATCTACTTTCAAATTATGCGTAGTTATGACATTGATTTCCACTGCTATGCAGATGATACGCATTTGTTTATCCCGATAAAGCCTGGTATTATTGATACATCCCATATTATGTCCGGCTTCAGCAAGATTAAAAATTGGATTTAAAAATATTTTCTGCAGTTGAATGACTCCAGGTCAGAGGTGCTTATAATTACCCCAGTAGAAGTAGCATTAATAATCTCTCCTCTAGTCTGGGTGCCTTATCTAATAATAATTATCTAATAATGTTCAAAAAGATGCCCACGACCTAGGTGTAATTTTTGACTCTGAACTGTCCTTCAATGCCCAGGTGACCAAAATGGTGCAGTCTTGCTTTGCACAACTGAGGCAGCTAACAAAGATTAAGCCATTTCTTTCTTTTGCAGATTTAGAAAAGGTCATTCATGTTTTTATCTCCTCTAGACTTGATTATTGTAATGTACTTTATTCTGGTATTAGCAGGCGAAACTTCCAAAGACTGCAGCTGATTCAAAATGCCGCTGCTAGGCTTTTAACACGTACTAAGAAAAGTGACCACATTACACCGATTCTTGCTGCTCTTCACTGGTTGCCTGTGAGTTTTAGAATTGGTTTTAAGATATCGCTGCTTGTTTTTAAAGCCTTGAAGGGTCAGGCTCCTGCCTATATTTGTGATTTGTTAACTCCTCATGAGCCTGATCGCTGTTTGAGATTGTCTGGTAGGGCCCTATTAATGGTTCCAATTGAAATTGTACTATAATACTGAAATAGAAAAATTGTGGTGTGTAAAAATTGTGGTGTTCTCTTTCTGGCAGGACCTAAAAGGGAAGATCTTGATAAAAGCAAAGACGATCAAAATGGAGCAGGACAGCTCCAGCTCTGACTCAAGCTCCTCAGATGATGAATCTAAAACTGAAAGCAAACCTAAAGCATGGAAGGTCAGTGTGTATCTTTGTACATCATGCTTTTGTATTTTCTAAAGCAGGGGTTCCCAAACCTGTTCCTGGAGATATATTTTCCTGCAAAGTTCAGCTCCAACCCTTATCAAACACAAGTTAGTCAGCTAGTTAAAGGATTAGTTCACTTCCAGAATAAATATTTCCTGATAATTTACTCATCCCCATGTCATCCAAGATATTCTTTCTGATCAAGATGTCTTTCTGTCTTCAGTCGAAAAGAAGGTGCTCAATGGTTTGAACGTCCAAATTGCAGTTTCAATGCAGCTTCAAAGGGCTCTATGCGATCCCAGCTGAGGATTAAGGGTCTTATCTAGCGAAATGATTGGTCAATTTATATATATATATATATATATATATATATATATATATGT